TTCTGCTGGTGTGACTTTAACAAACACAGCAGCTGTCGCCTCTGTGGTCTAATACATCTCCACCAAAGAGACCCACTGGAGGAAGCTGGTGTGGTAGAAACCACAGGCAGAGCAAATGTATATACATTCACATGGGCTCCTCTCCTTGAGCTGCTCCTGAAGAAAGTCACTCAGTCATATCTGACTCTCTGCGACCCCATGGACCTCTCTAGGCTAGAATACTGGAGTGGGTAACCTTCACCTTCTCAGGGGATCTTCCCGACCCAGGGATCGAACCCAGGTCTCCTGTATTGCAGGCTGATTCTTTACCAACTGAGCTATGAGGGAAGCCCTGGGGAGGGGTAGATGAGTGTCCTCAGCCATAGGGAACTCAATGGTCTCTTCATGCTGACATTTTTGCTTTTGATTTCTTTCTTTCTAATGTCAATTCTGTTACATTACTGAAATGGTTATCAGGTTTACCAGCAAGCCCAATATGACCTTTGCGTTCACCTTGACTATGCTAAGATGGAACAAGTTTTCCTTGGCAAACTGATTATGATGTTTTGTTCTTAACAATGTTGACAGAGGGCAGAATTTTCCTGCAACCGGTTTCCTGGAGTGCTGTTTTGGGTCACTTCCATCATAAAAACAGAACCTTATAATTTTGCAGAAGATCCAAACCTCTCTCTCCCTCCACTGTCCTTATCAGTTGGTAAGAGATTAGAGACTCAGACCAAGTTGGCTGGCTTGGGTTCCAGTCTAGATATGAGGACCAGCTGCTACTAGCTGCGTAGAATCAAGAACTGCACACTGCTCTCTTTCACATCCAACTCCTTGCCTTAAACATCACCTCAGAGAACTCTGACATCTCACCTCCTTGGAATAAGTTAGGACTTAACAGTTTATACTGTAATCATTAATTCTAGGAGAAGGCAATGGCACCCCTCTCCAGTACTCTTGCCTGGAAAATCCGATGGATGGTAGGCTTCAGTCCATGGGGTTGCAAAGAGTCAGAACGACTTTACTTTCACTTTTCACTTTCATGCATTGGAGAAGGAAATGGCAACCCACTCCAGTGTTCTTGCCTGGAGAATCCCAGGGACGGGGGAGCCTGGTGTCTATGGGGTCACACAGAGTCGGACACGACTGAAGTGACTTAGCAGCAGCAGCAGCAGCATTAATTCTATCCATATATTTCTTCCACTCACTCCACATCCCTTCTTGTTTAATTGATGTATATTTACCATTAACCAAGCACTTTGCTTAGCACTGGACAAATAGCGGTGAGAAAACATCAAGAAATGTCTTCCCTCATGAAGCTTCCATTTTAGTGGGAAAGAAAAATATAATTCAACCAAACGTACAAATAAATGTCCATTTGTCAACAGGTACGCTGAAATCAGAATTTAAATAACAGCAAGGACAACAAAAAGCAATCCTCCTGACTACCAAAAAAGAAACAAAGAATATTGACAGAAGTAAAAGGAAAGAACGGGAACGAGCATGATGTTATACAGAATAGGACTGAGACAAAAAGAGCGGCATATATGGGATGAATATTAAGAAGTTGAATATATAAATACAGCATAAGGAATCCACTATCTTTTCTTGAATGAAAGCAGCAAAAAAGGGTCATGTACTTGAAAAAATGAAAGGAGTGAAGGCCAGTTATCTATGGAACAAATTCTCTGATATTCAAATATCAGTTCCATCTCTTTCCAGCTGAAGTAAGTGAGCTTAGACAAGTAACTTAGCTCTTCTGAGCCTTAGGGACCCTTTTTGTAAGTTGAAGATATGTTCTATCTCACGCATTTGTTGAGAACGTAAAAAGAGAGAATATACAAGGAAGTCCTAGGAACAGTGTGATACTGTCCTTTCAGTACAGTTTTGGGGGCCTTCCCTAGTGGCGCAGGGGTAAAGAAACCGCCTGCCAATTCAGGACTCATGGGTTCGATTTCTGGGTCAAGAAGATCCCCTGGAGAAGGAAATGGCAACCAGCTCCAGCATCTTTGCCTGGGAAATCCCATGGACAGAGGAGCCTGGCGGGCTATACAGTCCATGGGGTCGAACAGAGTTGGACAAAACTTATTGACTGAACAACAGCAATAGTTTCTGAAACTGGAGATGAAACCTGAGTGGATAAATCATAAACAGAATAGTGGAGTGAAACTTAGTCTCAAAGAACAAAAACTTAGTGACTTAACAACAACAATAGTTTTTGAATCTGGACATGAAACCTGAGTCAATAAACCACAAATAAGACAGTGGAGTGAAACAGTCTCAACGAACATTCTTATTTTTTTTCAACAACACCCTAAAAGCAATGAATGTACACAGTGCCAGATCTCGGTTTCTAATGCCATTCTCCAATCAAGGACCCAGGGATCCTTGGAGCAATGGCTAATTCTGGAACTGAAGCAGAAAATATACAGGATCAGCCTGGGGCATTTTGCAGTACTAGAAAGTAAGAAAAGGCTAAAAAAAACAAACAAAAACACATATATACACAATGATGAGGGGATGTCAAGGGATACAGGAACCAATTTAAAGAACTCCCAATGGCCAAAGCTGGATAGTTTAGATTGCAAAAAAAATAAATAAATAAAATACTACTGGACTATAATCCAAAGTGCAAAATAAATATTGATAAGCCTATACTGATGTAAAAATGAATGGATGAATGAATGAAGGGGGAGAGACACATCTCTCAAGCAGAATTCCAGATAATTTATGGAGCTCCTCCACTCTCAAGGAGGTAGAATATAACTCTCCTTCCTTAGGTGTGGGTTGTACATAGTGACTTCCTTCCAGAAAATACAGTAAGGAAGTGGGGGGAGGGCAAGTTAACCTATATCATGTATTACCTCAGCCAGGTGATAAAGGTTAACTCCAACGGTGATACCCTTGATAGGATGTGATGCAAATCACATTTTACCTCAGATATCTTCCTCCCAAAACCCATAAACCCAGTCTAGTCATAAGAAAAGTATCAGAGAAATACCAGGTGAGGGACATTCTACAGAATATTTCACCAACACCCCTCAAACATGTTAAGGTAACAAAAAAACACAAGGGACGTCTGAGAAACCGCCACAGCTAAGAGGAGCCTAAGAATACAGGACTACTAAATGTTCTGTGAGTCCTCAATGGGCTCCTGGAACAGAAAGGGACATTAGGGAAGAATGAACAAAATCTGAATAAAGCGTGGACTCCGGTTCGTAATAACGTATCAACACTGACTCTGTAACTGGGTAACTGATTCTGTAACACTAATGTAAAATATTAATAATGGGGGAAGTGGGTGCGGTATCTAGGGGAATTCCCCATGCCACCTTTGCAATTTTTCTTTAAGTCTAAGCTATTGTAAAATTTTAAAACAAAAGAAAGAAAACATTCTTGCAATACCAGGCCTTTGGCATCCCAGGAACAGTACAAAAAGGATCCCTGCACACTTTCAAATTAATCCCCTATAGGAGTCAGGATTAGACAGGCCAATGTGTTGGCTTTACTCAAAGCTTGTAAAAGAGCTTATTTTGCTTATTCATCTAAGCCTGTGTTGCCTCTGGGTTATTTCTTAACTCCAGTTTCAAATTTAGGGTGTACTGTTTCTATTTTGATTACTGTATAGGAATACCAGAGTGAAACCATTTTCTCTGTTCTGAATTACTGATCATTCTAAAGTCAATCCTTTGACTTGAAATTTAAGACTGTCAGTGAAATATATAATTATCCTGGTGGTTTTGTTACAATTCCTCCAGCCTGTCTCTTTGTTGCCTTTTGGCATTAGTGATTTTTCTGTGTGCTCAACATGACACCAATTTATATTTCAAAATCGCATAATGGTTTTATTGTGAAGCCTCCACTTTCTGGTTTGATTTCCTATATATAGGTCAGACATCCCTTCAGTGAGACAGCTTGCACCTTCTTCACCAATAAGGGACAAAAACTCACATCAGGTTGAGCTGAGCAACTCAGGCAATGAGGGTGTGAGATTAAAGTCATTGTATTATGCCATTAAACACTCATCCTGCAGGTTATTTTAAGTATTCTATTGCCAGAACTTGAACAGCAACAATAATAATCCATTCCATTAAAAAATAAATAAAAGGAAACGAAAAAGAAAGAAAAACCTAAAAAAGGAAAAACCAAAGAAAACGGAAAACTTCGTTGCCTAAGTGCTTAAGATCGATTGCAATTTCTCCCGTTTTTCTAAAAAGTTAACGGGAGGGAAAAAAGTAATAGGAGATATTGCCAGGATTTTAAATCTTCTGAGCCCAGTATCCATAACAATCCTGTTTAGAACCATCCTGTGAAATTGGCTTTGGGACGTCCCCCGCCACTCGATCATCCAGCTTCTGTAACTTTCTAACAACCATCCCGTTGGCAGTCCCCTGAGGACACAGCAGCTGACCGGGGGCGCCCGGACCAGACTTCTCTAACCGAATGTAGATGTGCAGGTGGAGAGGATAAAAGTAATTCCAGCTCAGCAGCCAGGAATTCCCCCCCACCCCGCGCCCCCAAAGTGCACTGCATATTACCGCCACAACTGGGACCTTCAGACGCCAAGAGAACTCTAACACTGCCCCCAGCTCTGGTACTTAGACTGTGGCCGGCCCCTGCCTCCGAGTGATGATGCCATCTTGGGATCTTAGCATCTCCTGAGGAGTTAGTGAGTTGTGCATTCTGTTCACGTCCCCGTGTCTATAAAAACTTAACCCAACTTTTCCAGAATATGAGAGCCTGCTGGTGTGGACCCTTAATTTTCTCTATCTGGTTCAAATCAGATATTATTTAGAATAAACCGAAGACCTCTGAACTCCCCACATCACCACCCCCGCCCCAGCGGGCACCCCCAAGTCTGGGCTCCCTGGGTGTGAAATCAGATGCCCCAAGGCAGACCTTGCCGTCCGAGGTCCCGGGGACAGTCCTCCGCCAGGACCAGATCTAGGGGCTGAAGACTGGGGCAGCTGGTCTCAGCAGGACCGGGTTGGGAGGGCGGAGGTTCCCCAGCAACTTACAGTCCAGGGCGACCACCAGGTAGCGCAGCAGGAGGAGCAGCAGGCGGTGGCGGCTCCTCCTCGCCATCTTCGTGGGGTCGGGAGCTGGCGGCTCCTCCGAAGCTGAGGGTCCCGGCGGCGGGAGCGCGGGAGGCCGGCCGGGGGCGGCGGTGGGGGTCACCGGACTCCTCGCGCGGGAGGGGAGAGCGGCGCGCGGCGGCGCGGAGGGGCGGACCCTGATGGGATGTCAGTTTCCCCCTTCCAGGGGCGCCCGCTCTGCGCCCAGCCCAGGGGAGGCTCAGGTCTAGCCCGGGGCCTGCGGGGGTCTGGGCAGTTCTGTTTTGGAGGGGAGGCAGGGAGGCGGAGGGAGCCGGACGAGATGCCGGCTGGCTCCTAATGAGGGGGCCGGAGGAGGCAGGCGAGGAGCGGAAGGGAAGCCCTGGCGGGGCGTCCCCCGCCCCCGCGCCGCCGGGATTGATCGGCTTTGTGTCGGGTCCGGGCGCGGGGCTGCCAGCTGTCCCCGGGGCGCGGAGCCCGGGCGCGGGAGGCGCTGGTCGCGGGCGCGGGGGTGGGGCGCGGCGGAGGTTGGCTGGGGGGTGCTCCGCCCGCCGCGCTCCGACTCCTCGCTCACCCTCCTTTGCACCAAACTTCTTTGCGGGGCGGGGGGCGGGGGCGGCGGTTTCAGCCTAGGGGTGGGGATTTGGGGGAAATTTCTGGCCAACCCGCGAAGCTGCGCGGGGAGGTGCTCCGGGTACTTGGGGTTCGTCGGCTCCGCCTTGGAGGCGAAGGCGTGGGCGATGCGGGGGCGGAGGGGGGGGGTGGTTAAAAAAAAAAGAAGCAATCAAGATGAGCTGGCAGGCAGGACTGAGATTTTAGTAATCGTCTTGGCCTCTTCTCAGCGGAAGCTCTGTGCTTCTTGGAGGCTGAGGGTGTGTTGTGCGTTCTTTGCCTTTGCCGTGTTAGAGTTAGAAGTTCATCTAACGGTGTGAAATATTTATCATGTTTCTTTGCAGTTATATAACTGTCGCCTGTGGAGTTCTCCACATGTTAAAACTCCACAGCTGCCCTTTGTCAGGTTTATTTTTGGTCTGCAGTGCTTTTTAAAAGGGAAACCCATTATGCATGCTCTGTTGCGTATTTTAAAATTGACCTGCACTTGTAGTGTTCAGGGTCCAAGGGCTAAACAGGCAATTTTTCTATTTCCTCCGAGGGACCAGAAATGTCTGGTGCATTCAACAATATTGACAGGTCAGCATTCCCAAGAGAAGAAATTGTTAGACGCGTGGTTTTTTTTTTTTTTTAACGTAGAATAACGGATAAAGTTCTGTATAGAAGACAGTTGATTCAGTGGTGTGCACACGAAGAATCGAGTTAGCTCAGGGACAAAGGCAGCCAGAGTTGAGATGTGCAGAGCTGTGAGGAATGAGGCGTCTCTGCTGTTTCCTTGGTGACGGTGATGGAAGCTTAATGCCCATGGCGGGAGAGGGGCAGAGGACCCAGAAAGGAAAGTCAAAGTGGCAAAAATGTGAGAGCCATACTCCAGTCAAACAAAGAGAAAGGACGCAACAACAGCTCATGCACGTTTTTCTGGGCAGTAACAAAACAGATGCGATGTTTTACAAGAAAAGTTGTTGGCACCCTCTTTTCTCACTCTTGCCCCAGCTGTCTCTTTTGCTCCTCCCTAAAGATAAACACACACAAAAAAGAATCATTTTTTTTAAAAGAAATGCTGTCCCCTCCTATGTGAATAATTAATTCACTCATTTATCTGTCATCCAGTCAAGTGAAAGTCACTCACTCGTGTCCAACTCTTTGTCACCCTAAGGAAATGGCAACCCACTCCAGGGCTCTTGCCTGGAGAATCCCATGGATGGAGGAGCCTGGTGGGCTACAGTCCATGGGGTCGCAAAGAGTCGGACATGACTGAGCGACTTCACTTATACTGTATAGCGCCAGGTTCCTCTGTCCAAGGGATTCTCCAGGCAAGAATATTGGAGTGGGTTGCTGTGTCCTCCTCCAGGGGGTCTTCTCACAGGGAATCTTCCTGACCCAGGGATGGAACCAAGGAAGGTCTGCATTGCAGGCAGATTCTTTACCATCTGAGCCACCAGGGAAGCCCCAGTCACCCCCAGTCAAGACCTTTATCAGATGGCTACACTGATGCTGGTGGACAGTGAGCAAGATCAAGTCTTTGGTGCTAATGAGCTCACAGGCTTAAGGAAAGAAAGTCCCAAGACTAGAAAGTGAGTCCCATCTGGGAAGACCTCTAATACCATATCATGTGTCCCCTGAGAGAAAATAGTAACAAATTCTTATTGAGTGCTTTCTCAGAAGTAGAGTCTGAATAGTGCAATATCTAATCCTCCAACAACTCTGTAAGAGAGAAAAAGTATCATTCCTACTTTACAGATGAGAAGACCAGGCAGAGAGATGCTAAACAGCTTGTTCAAGATCAAGGATAAGGAGATGTTCTACATTGGGGATGCATGCAGGGCATATAATAACTGTTGCACATCCTTTCATATGTGCTTTATTAGGCATGGGAAGTTGGGGCAAATTTTGAAAGGGAGGAAGGAAGGGAAGGACATTCTAGGCAAAGAGAAGGATCAAAAGCTGAGGAAGCTAAATATTATGACTTGTTTGGGAAAAGCAAGTTTCTACAGTGCTAGAGTAGAACATGTGGAATGGGGCCAGGGGAGTTGGCAGAAAAAAACTGAAACGACCACTGGATCATGTGTCATTCAATGTCATAATGTAGACTCTAGATCTTCGTTATTGTTGTTCAGTCGCTAAGCTGTGTCAACTCTTTATCCTATGGATAAAGAGCTTTTTGAAAGCATTAGGATAGGATATAAAATAATCCATATTTATAACTGTGCTGTCCAATATGGTAGCCTCTAGATTCACATGGCTATATAAATTTGAATCCATTAAATTTAAAATCCAGTTCTACAGTCACACTTGTCTCATTTGAAGTTCTTAATAGTCAAAGCTATGGTTTTTCCAGTAGTCTTGTATGGCTGGGAGAGTTGAACCATAAAGAAGACTGAGTGCTGAAGAACTGATGCTTTTGAGCTGTGGTGTTGGAGAAGACTCTTGAGAGTCCCTTGGACTGCAAGGAGATCCAACCAGTCCATCCTAAAGGAAATCAACCCCGTAAATATTCATTGGAAGGATTGATGCTGAAGCTCCCATACTCGTCCACCTGATGCAAACAGCTGACTCATTAGATAAGACCCTGATGCTGGGAAAGACTGAAGGCAAGAGGAGAAGGGAGTAACAGAGGATGAGATGGTTGGATGGCATCACCAACTCAATGGACATGAATCTGAGCCAACTCTGGGAGACAGGGAAGCCTGCGTGCTGCAGTCCATGAGGTCTGAGCGACTATCGGACAAGACTGAGCGGCTAAACAACAATAGCCACTTTGGGGGAGGGTTTGCCCTCCTGGATAATGCAGATACAGAGCAGCAACAGTAGCCAAACATCAAAAGGAAAAAGTGCCGCTAATCACAAAAACAGACATCTCAAGTTAATGATTTTACTGCTTTTCTATGTACAGGAAGATTAAGAGTCAGAGTTCATTGAAATTATTCCTTTGATGCACATCTTAACTATCTGAGGCCGGCATCCTGTTTTTCTCCACCTTGAATTCCCCTCAGGGTGCACCACTGGGGGAGGTTGCAGTGACTGATGGCTTGATGTGGGCAATATTCTTTGTTTACTGAAATGTCAGGCAACATTTCTTTGTCCACAGTCCAAACCTCTAGAATATATGGCACAAAAAATGAACCCAAACTGTGGACTCTGGGTGATTGTGATGTGTTAGTGTAGGTTCATCCATTGTAGCAAATGTATCATTCTGATGGAGACACTGATCAAGGCCGAGGCTGTGATGCACCAGGGGCAGAGGGAGATGTGGAAAATTTCTGCACCTTCTGCTTAACTTTTTTGTGTATCTGAAACCTGAAAAATAGGGCTTCCCTAGTGGCTCAGAGGTAAAGAATCTGCCTGCCAGTGCAGGAGACATGGGTTCAATCCCTGGGTTTGGAAGATCCCCTGGAGAAAGGAAAGGCTACCTACTCCAATATTCTTGCTTGGAGAATGCCATGGACAGAGGAAACTTGTGGGCTACAGTCCATGGGGTCACAAAGAGTCGGACATGACTTAGCATGCATGCATACAGTCCATGGGGTCACAAAGAGTCGGACACAACTGAGCTATGTTCAGGTCACTTGGTGGCTCAGTAGTAACAAATCTGCCTGCCAGGGAGGAGACACAGGTTCAATCTCTGTCTGGAAAGATCCCACATGCCTCGGAGCAGCTAAGCCTGTGCACCACGACTACTGACTCTGTGCTCTAGACCCTGGGTGTCACAATTACTGAGCCCACATGCTACAACTCCTGAAGCCAGCACGCCCTAGAGCCGGTGTTCCGCAGTAAGAAAAGCAGCTGCAGTGAGAAGCCCGTGCTCCACAACTAGCCTCCACTCGTGGCAACTACGCAAAAGCCGGCACAGCAATGAAGATCCGATACAGCCAAAAATAAATAAATTTTTAAAAGTAAAATAAAACCTAAAAAATAAAGTCTAGTAAAATAATTAGAACAAACAAAAGAACCCAAGAAAGAACAGTCAGAAATGTAGGAGAGGAACTCGGAGAGAATCAGGAGGTGGAGGTATTTACCATCTTCAGGGCTAAAAAGACGACTGAGAATTGTTTCCTACTTTAGTAATTTCAGTTCGGTTCAGTTCAGTCGCTCAGTCATGTCCGACTCTTTGCGAACCCATGGACTGCAGCATGCCAGGCCTGCTTTAGTAATTACGAGGGCATCACCCACATAGATGATAGAGAAAGCAAGCCTCCCTGTAGGAAAAGTTTAAAGACATTTACGTTACTTAAAAATTAAGTACAGTAATTTTTTACCTTAATAATTAAGTACAATAAAATTAGTACCTACAATAAAATTGCAATATTGCACATTAGTACATATAATAAAAATGAATCCTGCAATGCTTGCAAATGTCAGCAGCACACAAGTCACCCCCAGAGAGTTCCCAGAAGAAAAATTCAAATGGTTCTTCAAGTGTGAAGCTCTTGAAAACTCCCTGGCTGTCTAGTGGCTGGGATTCCTCACTTTCACTGCCAATAGCCCAGGTTTGATCCTTGGTCAGGGAGCTAAGATCTTACAAGCTATGTGGTGAAGACCCTCCCCACCCCCAAATCAGCAGCAGGATGGTGAAAGGAATAGTAATAATAGTAACAGTTACACTGCTTCCTTCCTGGGTGGTTGGGAGTGTGTTTCATTATTGTTCTGCTTGTGAGAATCCTTACACCAGGGAGCATGAGGCAACTCGTGGGGAGGAATGGGAGGCTTCGCCATGGGCATCCCTCCAAGCGGTCTGTTCTCCATGGTTGTATGTGCCCTCCCTGCCCCGCCCATGTGTCGGAGTCACTTTCACTCTGATACTATAAGCATTTTGTCAGGTAAAAATGGGGATTTGGTGTTTCAGCAAGTCTGACCATTTTTCCTCCTTTCTACCCACTCTAATTCTGAACTCCAGTTGATGCTGAGGAGGTGGCAAGGCGCATTTCCTAAAACAAGCAATGCAGAGAAGGGCTGAGTTTAAATTGAGTGACTTCTCACAACATCTCAGATTTGGTGTTTCTGCGCAGAGTGGGTTATTTTCCCTCATGGGTGTGGAGAAGGTGCTGGAAAGTGGCCCACACTCTGCAATTTAGTGAAAAGAGAGGTGGGGGGGGGGAGCCTTCCATTTCCAGAACCACATAAATTCCCAAGAGTCTCTCATATACATTTTAAATGCCTATGGATGGAATTTCAAGGTCTTTCATGGGATCCTTATTACTTATCCCTCATCATTATCCCTCAGATCCTTTTCTGGAATAAGGCTGATTTTGGCATTGCATTCGGATATGCCCACAAAAACACTCAGGTGTTTTTGAGCTCGTTGAGCTGGTGCTCAAACCACAGCCCTTTCCAGTCAAATGAACCTTCTCAGAGAAGCCCAGTGTCCCCAGCACAGAGCCGTCATGACTCTCCCAAAGTGACATATTTCTTCATATACATTATAACAATACAGGCTCAAAACTTTTTTCCAAGAAAGACAAAAAAACCCTCACTAGCCTCACCTGTTTGAATTACTACAAGCAGGACAATCTTTCAGTCTCTGCTCCTACATGATTTAACAGCTCTAAGGTGGTTCTACCTGACCCTAAGTGAATTTCACCTGTGACCAGTGAACTAGTTATTAAGGCTTTCTTTCCTTATTTGTTATTAATGCTTTCTTCCCTGGTGGCTCAGAAGGGAAAGAATAGGCCTGCAATGCAGGAGACCTGGGTTTGATCCCTGGGTCAGGAAGATCCCCTGGAGAAGGGAATAGCTACTCACTCCAGTATCTTGCCTGGAGAATCCCAGGGACAGAGGAGCCTGGTGGACTACCATCCGTAGGGGTGCAAAAGAGTCGGACACGACTAATCAAATTTTTCCTTTTTAATTAAAAAGCACATTTAATATAAACTCAATTTTCTTTTAAATTGGATAACAATTAGCAATTTCATAGGGAATTAGGTAATGTGAAAATGACTTTTTAAACAGAATTTTCTTGGGGCAGGAGATATCATTTAACAAATATTTTCCAGGGAAAAGGAAGGATAGGCATCAATTAGTCCTGGGGGCCCCACTGACTAGGATCTAATGCCTGATGGACTGAGGTGGAGTTGATGTAATAATAATATAAATAAAGTTTACAGTAAATGTAATGCCCTTGAATTGTCCTGAAACTACCCCCCTACCCCCAACCCATGGAAAAATTGTCTTCCATGAAACTGGTCCCTGGTGCCAAAAAGGTTGAGGACCTTTTAATCTATAAGGATGGAGTCATAACAACTAAAACTGGGGGGAGAAATATAATTCCCAAATCCATCCCCTCCATTCCTCCCCCTTTCTTCATATCACAGTTAAGGATGATGAGACCCGGAGGGGTGATATAATTTACTCAAGATGACGCAGCAAGAAAAGGAAAGAGCCAGGCCTGGAATGAACCCTAGTTCTGTCTTTCATTTGCAGTCCTCCAAACAGCATAAATTGCTCACTGTTGGCTGGGAATGAATTTAACTTTTTGTATATAACTTGAAAAATAGATGTTTTTGAACTATGGTGTTGGAGAAAACTCTTGAGAGTCCCTTGGACTTCAGGGAGATCCAACCAGTCCATCCTAAAGGAG